AGACTGGGACATGGTGATAGAAGTGGGATGGGGGGTGGGCTCACTGGTCGCAGGATTTATAGTTCGGCCTTCACCCTTCGGACTCGGGGGAGGCAACGGTGTGTCCTTCGACAATAGAACATGGGAGTCGCCGAGGTCTCAGGATAGATACTTCCCGAAAGTGGGAGGCCGAATCTGGGACAGATGTAGTGCAACATGAGGCCCACGGTGATCCCGTCAATAAATCGGTCAAATAAGGGCAAGATGACAAAATGCCACACAGCACAAGGATTAGGAACCTAAACATGAGGCTCCGTAAATGTAAGACCGAGCATGAACGGCCGACTTCCCCTAACGTCTTCAACGACCGCGCCAATCTACGGGCTCCCAGAGGTAACGTGGGTGCGCCACAAACAATGGGAGAGGTTCGGCGCCGAGAATTCAGCCCCGCAGTGAGGTAATTCGTGCCAAAATATCGAATAAGCGCACGAGACACGGGGTCGGGAAGCGCCCAAAATGCGGTAAGTAACACATAGGAAAATAAATCGAGGTTGATGGGGTCGCCGTGGTCTTTGAGGGCCAAATCATGCGATCAAGTGGATGTATCCACGCTGGAGAGTTTCCCGAAGGCTATATGGGAAAGCCGAGAAAAGAACCGAAGATTTCAACAACCTGAACAGAGCAATGGATCCGGATGGCTCGGGAAAGTGACTCGAGGGTATTCGAGTCAGCGGCTGATGGCAATTTGATGGCGAAAAGGGAAGGTTCTCACGGCTAAGATCGGAATCGGAGAAGTTGTATACTTGTGCATGGTCTCGACCGTGACATAAATCTAACTTAGGGTTCCTCTCTTTCTGCAGATCTCCTTGTTCGAGGAACCAAGAGCGATTGTTCTGTATACGTCACGACTACCGCAAGCTCCATTGGGAAAGTTATCGACTTGGAAACATGTCAAATCTTCTGGCTATCCCTTTCAAGAAAACATACCCTGTCGATGTCAAGGAATCAACGCGAACTTATATATACTCCAATGGTGGAGGGCATCCTGACGAATTCAAGGATGACATCAATCTATGGCAAAGTTTAAGGAAAGAAGGTGTGGGTGGTGTGGTGCATGTCGATCGAATCAATACTTCTCTGTTGTCCGTCGAAATCTTTACGCTCCTTGTTTTCACGACTGAAAACATCTACAAGATACCATGCACAACTTGTCTCGATCTTGACGAAGCTTCCTCCTGATGTGAGTGAGCGGTTTGAAGTGCGATGCTGGGGCATTTAGCATTGACATCGTCCTGGGCTTAGATAGGTTTAGACATTGCATATGCCCCTGTGTTTCAACCGAACGCCATTCCAATCACTCTCAAGAACCTTGTATTTGAGCGATGTGGTGTTCTTTTCAATCTGGCTTCTTTGTATTCTCAACTCGCCGCATCTGAGGATCGATCAACGATGGATGGTATCAAACGGGCTACAGCCAATTATCAAGTATGTAGTTCCTCATAAAACCTTCCTTATGGCTAAGCAGGTTTCAGTATAGTGCAGGAGTCTTCTCCTTTCTCCGAATGTTAGGCATTCCGAGAATAGCTTACTCTGTGGACGACGAAGATGTTCCACGCGACCTTTTCGACCCCTTTGCTAGTTCCCTCAACCTCCTCATGTTAGCTCAAGCACAAGAATGCTCTTGGCAGATGGCCAAACTTAGTGTGTACCCCCCAGAATGAACGAAGTATGCAACTCATGTCGCTTAGATCAATACAAAAACGCCCTTATTGCCAAAGTGGCTGCCAGGGTTCTTGCATTCCATGTTTCTGGATCCTTCCTTCTATTCTAATAACGCCAACCAGGTCGGCTCGCTCTATCAGACAACCTCTCAGGCGATTCGATCAGCGACACCTCCGATCGAGGACATGTTTCCCTCTGTAGGTGTTTGAAGAACAGCACATCGTCCCCAACTCAGTCGCATTGCGTAGGATTGGCTTCCCCATATTGAAGCTAAACACCATCATTTTTCGGCCGTGTCACAGTATCGAAAAAGCATGGACGAGATCGAGGCCAGCAGGTGAAAATTCGCCGCCGGTCTATCATTAAATTCTTCTTTGACATATATCCGCTTCTACACCTTCAGGTATGGCATTGAAATCGCAAGACTACAGGAAGCGCAGTTAGAGGCCAAAAAGGCGTACGACATCGCTCGGCGCGGGCGAATATCATCTACCGTCCTACAAGACATCCAAGTAAGGATTCTCTTACTGTGAGCCGAGAAAATTTGTAGATCAAACTATCAGTCCTTGCTTGAGGTCGTGCAGAAAAATCTCAGTCGAGCTGAGCGTGACAACGATCTCATCTACCACCACGATGTCCCTACTTTCTCAGCGCTTGTTCCCATCGCCGAAACAAACCTTGTTTCGTCCACAGTACCTGCCGGCCTATCTGAGCCCACTAGCATTATCGGCAACGGGAGATTAATTTTTGGCGAGTTGGTCGGGTGGGGTGCGAAAGAAGCTATCAGTAAGCCCAACCTGATCGATATTTTTCAATTTCCTCAAGCCGACGCCCAGATATCTACAACGATCGGCGACAGAACCTCATCAAGGAGAAAATTTTGGACGTGTCAAGTCAATTACAAGACACAGTGGATGAGTTAGTATTTCGCCGGACTTTTGCTCGGTTTTGTACCGACCATGACTAACACGGCGATAGAACTCTTCAGCTGTTGCATCTCCCATCAGCTTTGGAAGCTTTAGAACGTCCAATTGGGTTACCCCCAAGTCTGCTTCGCAAAGCTGAGGAGGTCCGCCTGGAGGATGGGCCCGCCAAAATAGAGGTTTCGATCGAAGATGTTCAGAGGCTAGCCCAACAAGATCATGCTATTTTAGACGAAGTCGGTTCCACCCGTCGCCCGAAGCGCTCATCTGACCCATACGTTTCTCAGGCAATGGACATTCTTGATAACGAAGCATCGGAGGACGAAGCTGCCCGCAAGTACAACAATCTAAACAGGCTGCCTTCCCATGAGGCGAATATCGAGCTCATCGGAAAGGAAAAACGATACCGGAATATCTTGGCACAAGCAGCCGCAAGCGATGAGACAGTGCGCCAGAAATGGGACGAATGGGAACAAAGCATCGTCGAGCTCACATGGAGCGAGGTACGTACATTATCGAGATTTTCACCACCCGCCCCCTTGATCTATTCTCCAAATACATTGATAGGAAGACCTCGAAGCGTCTGTTCCATCCTCCACAATCTCGTCATCTGCGCCGACGACAGCGCAGGGCCGGGAGGCCCAGACCCACGCCCGGGCGCTTCGGGTTCAAATCGAAGCCCTCGACGATCTCCACAAGGCGCGAGAGCAGCTGATACGTCGTACACAAGCGCTCGCGGCGGCGGACAACATCCGCGATCGCGTTATGCGAGTCGCTGCGGGTTTTGAACGGCTTGCGGAGGTAAAACCCGCGATGTTTGAAGATGTATCGGACGAAGAACTCGCAAAGTATGACAAATTCCTCGTGGAGATTGGCGAGATCGGGCAGCGCCAAGGAGGTATACTGTCCGAGATTCAGGTATGTTGGTTCCTGCTGTTGTTGTTGTTGTTACCATCGCCCCACCCCACGTACAACGTGGTTGGGGGCGTGGTTAGTACGTTATGGGTTCTGATGTTGATTGTGGTGTTTCTCACTTTTGATGATTGATTCCTTTTGCCATGCCATGTGCAACTTTCTTTCCTGCTTTGGAACGTGGGGCACTTAATTCGGGATATGTATGTTTTAGCGTCGCAACGAACTTTTCCTGCAGTCGCGGAAGGATGATCCCGCGGTCAAGGAGCGGGAATACGCATTACAGTCCCTGGACCTTGCGTATCACAAATATCGGGAAATCACGCGGAACCTCGATGAGGGATTCAAGGTCTGTGCCCCATTTCTTTCCCTCTCCTCAATTCGCTATGACGTGCCGGCGCCAATCACCACCACGTTGTTGGACACTCTTCCCTTTGCGATCGACCCTGAGCTAACCGTTTCCGTGTTCCTCCCCCCCTATGTCTAGTTCTACAACGATCTTGCCACCATCTTTTTGCAATTCAAGGAAGCGTGCAAGAATTGGAGCCGGGCAAGGAATCAGCAGATCCAGTAAGCATTGTTTGACTTGTCCTCTCGTCTCCGTGGAACACGCTTGCTGAATAGGGGTGTTAGTTCGCTGACGCGGTCTTTCCAAGATATGTCCGTCAGTGTGGGGCAACAAAAGCAACATGAAATCGCACCATCTGCCGCCTTGCCCTCGGCAGGCTCGACAGCACACACAAAAGAAGACGACAACGCTCCAGGTTCGGGGTCAGAAGAAATCGAGGAACGGGATGACGATGGTGATGAATTGCCACCGCCGTCGCGATCGAAGGGTGCTGTGCTGCCGCCCAGGGCTCAGTCCGGGGATGAGAATCCCAGCCTGGGCCATCCCGAAGAGGATCCCGCGAAAGCATCCCGGACGACGAGGGCTGCGCATCATACTCCCCCAGATGTGGCCAGCACACCACGAGCTACCCGTGCCTCTGTGCGCCGGGCTCAGACACCCACCACACGCGCAGCCCAACCGGCCCAGAGCCAGACTCCTGCGCGCGTCCCATCCGCCCTGGCATCGACCCCAGCACGCACTGCCCAGCCTCAGTTATCGACACCGGCATCGACGCCTGTATCTCATACGAAAAAGCTGCCGGGGGCAGGGAAGTCGGGGCTTGGGCTGCCGCCGCTCAACTCGAGCGAGTGGGGCTTTGAGGATATCAAGCTCCCGCCGCCACCTTCGACGCCGAAGAGGAGGTCTTGAGGAACAGGGGACGGGGACTGGTATTGTGGACGGATTGGACTCTCGGGCTTCGGGCGGCAGTAACGGGTTGGTTTCATTCTGTTAGGCCCTTTGAATCTAGTGCTGTATACGTGCCCTTTGTTACGTCTGAGCTTTGTGAACTATATGTCGCGCCCTTGAGCCTCTTAGAGAAAATGTATAACCTCACAAAAGATAACATTTATTATGGGGGCATAGCTCAGTTGGGAGAGCAGCAGACTGAAGTGATTTCTGAAGGTCCCGCGTTCAATCCGCGGTGCCCCCATGAAGTGGTCGCATCAAGCATTTCTTTTTGTCTCCTTATTTAACTGCTCGCTATTGAAGCTGCCTTCTCGCCAAAGTCAAGACCGAGCGATCAATACCAACATCCACAAGCAACTAATTCCAAAACTTTTCCTCCAGGGCACAAGCCCTCGCCATCTCAAGCTACGCCGTCGGCTTATCAGCATCCAGTGCAACCGTGAAGCTCACCGAAGTAACAACACATACCTGTTCATCCGTCCGACACACAAGCACCCTCTTCTCTCTCTCGCCCTTACCTTCGCCTTCGACGCCAATATCCACCACCACCCCCTCACCGAGCTCGGCGTTCTTCGCCGGATCCACTTTCGCGTAACCGAGGCATCGCACACGGGCACATACGACCTCTCTAAGCTCCTTGCTCTTCTCGCCTATCCCACCTGAAAAGACAAGCGCATCGACGGCGGCGCCGAGCTTGAGGTGGTACGCACCGACGAAGTCTAGGATGCGGTCGACGAAGAGGTCGAATGCAAGTGTGCAGCTGTCTTCTTCTCCCTCGCTCTCCCCCGCCTCTTCTGGTTTACCTTGAACGCGCACCCTCGCACCCCGGACCACCCTCCCAAAGTCGGTCGTCCCAGTGATTGCCTTCCACCCGCTCTGCTTGTTTAGTATCTCCTCCGCCTCCGTGACGTGGAGATCAACCTTGGCGCTAGGATCATGAGTGATGCGGCCGGCGGTGTTGGTGTAGTGGAAGATCAGTGAGGGATCGACAGTGCCTGAGCGCGTTGCGCCGGGGAGGCCGCTGAGGGGTGTGAGCCCCATGGAGGTGTCGAGGGACTGGCCGTGGTGGATGGCGCAGGCTGAGGCGCCGGAGCCGAGGTGTAGGATTATGAGGTTGAGAGAGGAGGCGGGGCGCTGGAGGAAATGGGCGGTGGCGCGGAGGATGAATGAGTCTTTGAGTAAGATCAGTGGGGAGTGAACATAGAGGGAGGGGAGACGCACAGCTGAGACCGTGGAAACCGTATTTCCTGAGCCCGCGCTTGGTGGCGATGGACTGGTCGATGGCGTACGCGGCGATGTGGCGGGGTATCGTGCAGTGGAAGACGGAGTCAAAGTAGGCTATGCTCTTCGCGTGGGGCAGCTTCTCGATGCATGCGCTGATGACGGACAAGGCGGCGCCGTTGTGGAGCGGGGCCAGGTCGGAGAGGGCAGCGATGCGACCGTACGCTGCGAGGTCGATGACGACGGGAGCGGTGTAGTCGCCGCCGTGGACGACGCGGTGGCAGATGCACTGGACAGAAGACGGGTCGGGGAGCCGGGAGAGGAAGTACGCAAACGCGGAGGCGTGGTCGCGGATGGTGGCGCCCCCAACGGACTCGGTGGCGCCGTTCCAGGTGAGTTGGGCGGGCGGGGCGGTGATGTTGCTGATGCCGCACGTGAGTTCGAGGGTCACGGGGCTGCGGCGGAAGAGCGATATCTTGAGCGACGACGAGCCCGCGTTCACGGAGAGAATCGTCGCCATTGGCCACTCCATTCATCGCAGCATGTATATTTATCAAGGACGAGATAATGACGTCATGCTGATCCCGGACCCAGGGCCCGCTCCCCCGCACCTAGCCCCGACCCAGGCTTCACCTGCTCTCTGTCCCTCTCGCTCAGCCCAGGCCCAGCCGGCACCGTCTCTCCCTCGTCCTCCGGATGCAGCCTCACATACTCGATCCCCCGCAACCTCAACATCTCCTCCAGCAACGCCGCGTTCCGGCTATTGGGCTTGTACACCGCAACCGCCACGTCCCCCACGAACGGAACAAACCCCATCCCCGTGCTCACTGTCACGTTGAACACCATCCGCTTCGTCAGCCACGATGGCAGCTCCGCTTGCCGCGCCTTGCGCACGACAAGGTAGTAGTTTAAACTCGCGTTGGTCAAGTCCCCGACGACGGGGATGAGCCCGATCAAGAACGTCCACCCGAAGTGCAGCCCGCAGAGGTTGAACCCTTTGTCGAGGTAGTGAGACCGCTTCCGCACCGACTTGAGGATCTTGGTGTCTCGCGTTGAGAGCCCTGGTGGAAGCGGCCGCTGTCCTCTATGTCAGACACCCCTCATCCATGCATGTAGGTACCATAAATGGCATACTTTTTTTCTCTTTTTCTTCCCTTTCTCGTCCGTGTAGGTTTCATACAACGCATCTTCCGGCGCATACTGCTCGAGGTGCTTCGCGAAGAGCTTCTTCCCGGCTTTCGTGAGGAGGAAGGTCGCCATCGTGGGTGAAGCCTTGGTGAGTCTCTGTTTGAACCTGCCAGGGTGTTCTTGGCAGAACAGAGACAAAGGCAGTGCAGGTGACATCATAAGGCGGCAATGTACAAGTCTCAGATTCAAGATTCTGCCGCACAGCAAAATGTGGATTATTGTGGGCTCAGAGGCACTGCCAGGACTCGAACCTGGGTTTCGAGAAGGTGGAATTTTAATCGTGGCCAATCAGAATCTCGAGTGATAACCTCTACACTACAGCGCCACAGCCTTCCAATTTCTCATCGCATAGCCATTCTGTGCAGTAGAAAGACGATCGCGAGATCGTGATCAAGATCCGAGCAGCTACGCCACGATTCCAAACGCCTTTCTTGCTCTCCGCGTCAAATGTACGAAGCGCCAAACGACAAGGTGTCACTAAAAAAAGGTTTAACAGGGACAAAAACTCATGCTATCAGAGAAGCAAAGGCACTGCCAGGACTCGAACCTGGGTTTCGAGAAGTTAGAACTTCATACATGTCCAATCAGAATCTCGAGTGATGACCTCTACACTACAGCGCCGTGAAAGCCACCTTTCATCGCTGTGTATTCTGTGCGGCAAGAGACTGATCTGGTCCAGAGCCGAGCAACTGCGCCCCGATTCCAAGCACCTTTCTTGCTCTCCGTTTCTCAAACACCTTTCTCTCCCCCTTTCTTCCGTGAGAGTGTAAAAGATGCACTTGAGATGCCTCACCGACCACACGTGTCCTCATAGGACGCCTCACTGCCTGAGATGACCAAGTGCAACTGCAAAATAACATGCATCAGCCCATGATAAAGCCATTGTCAGGCCTCGAACCTGGGTATCGAGAAGCTTAACCACAGTTCGCAATGCGTCAAAATCTCGAGTGATGGCCTCTACCCTACAGCGCCTAATTGCCCCAACGAAACAGTCGCGGCCCTCACAACTGGAATGCAAAAGAGTAATGTTGCACTTGAGATCGATCAGAGCTCTCGATCGCGATCGAGGATCTGCGCCACGAATTATTGAAATCAATGATCGGATTTAGGGAGTTTGTGGGATGGAAAAGGTGTGGCGAGCGTTGTGGTTATTGTGTGATAGGGAAGGATAGAGAGGGGATCAACATGAATAGTATACGATCAAGAAAAACTTTGTTCAAGCCGTGGCCAAGGCACTGCCAGGACTCGAACCTGGGTTTCGAGAATATCCAGGAATGCGAACCGATGCATCCATCAGAATCTCGAGTGATAACCTCTACACTACAGCGCCAGATATCCGTGGGGTACTGGACCCTGATCAAAGTCTAAGCGAGCTTATTAAGACCATGATGTCCTCCAACCTGCATGATGTTACCACTCCTGCTAAATGGGCATTCTGAGCTATGCCGACCCCATCGATCGACGCCGAATCATCAACAGCCTGCCCTGAAATCCTCCATCGAGACTTGCACACCGTGGAGGGAACGGGTTACTGGTCTACCCTGACCAGCCGATTCTGCTGACCGTCGCTGCCTCGAGTTAGCCTCACGCTCTGCACACCATCGATACCGGACGGTCCTCCTCACTTCATATCGCGCGATGATTCCCCCAATCTGCGCCCCAACTCCCCCACTCCCCCTCCCATGCCCATAACATTTCCTATCGCTCCACACCCCGCCGAACCATTCTCCTCCACACACGGGATATTCCTCCACGATGAAAAGGCAGTTCTTGGGGAAGTCATGACGGCCTACGCCTCCAGGAGGATTTTGCAGAGCTCCGTTAGTACAGTCCCAACGACCGAACATGTACAGGGGATCGTCACGCAGAGGAATGGGTTCGTCATGGGCGCGTTGTTGGCGTATAATAAACACCATTGTCTTGTTATTCGGTACGTTGTTTTCTAGCTCGTATGAGCCTTCGAGCCTCAACCCACTTATACAGCCCAGATGATGTCTGGATAGCGATACTTTCGCAAATCAATTTCTAGTCCGTTCTTGACCTCAGTCGCATGCTTAAAACATTACTAACAATCTTGGGTTCTAGTATCAATGCCCATGTTGAGGAACTACGGCATAAATTCGTATCCCATCCTGGGAGGATGGAGTTGAGGGTCACGTCGCAGTCTGCCACTGTGGAGGGGATGGATTTCGGGGACCTTACAATGCAGATCAGCGAACAGATCCATAAGAAGGTGCGTTCAAGGTAGCCTATGATTCAATTGCAGACCATTAACGCGTCTTGAACAGGTGAAGGACTCATCGTTGGTTCCGTGGGTGCTGCCCAATTTCTCTACGACTACACCAAACGATGCAATTATATGTTCCGCGCTCCTCATGTCCACAGTGAAGAAGTGAAGCAAGCACTGAGCGGATATAGTATAGCCTTATACTGACCACGCGTTCATCATTTAGGTACTTCTCATACAGACTAGGCACCCTTTGCGGTATCCCAACGATCACACTCGAAGGCACTCAAGCCGACTGGCAATCCATCCTCTCCCGACTCGACAAACTCCCCGAGTTCGGCGCCGAACCCACAGAATGGGCGTCCATGCTCCGCGCCATCCTCACCCGCTTCATACGCGCATTCTCCATCGACCCCTCCTTCCCAAACAGCACCGACAAGCCCTTCTGGGAACGCATGATCCACGAAGAGAACGCATCAGGGACGTTCTGGATCGGCGGCTGGATGAGCGCGTTCTGCGCCTGGGACGCGCATGGTGCCTATTTTGCGGATGCTCATAAAGACACACGTGGTACGAGCCCGTTGGTTCGCGTCCCGACGCCTGGGTGGGCTAGGCGGTTGGAGCTCGATGGGGTTAGGTTCCCGAGAGTGACCACGATTCCTGAGGGGTATGCGGAGGTTAGTGTGAGGGTCATAGATGTGAGGAGGGGAAAGAAGTGGCAGTGTAGGATGCTTGCAGGGCATGTGGGGAATGAGGTTGTGAAGGGAGATGATGGGCGAGAGGAGGTAGAGGAGGGAGGAAGAAGAGGTGATACAATTAGAATGGCACCGCAGTGGTTCGTATATGTGAAGGGCGAACCTGGGGGTCAGAATCGATCGTATTTGCCATTTTATTAACTTGTTCGGCTGATCACAGGGCTCGAAGATTGTCGATTACCGGTGCAGCTGTGCAGACGCGTTCAAATTATGTGGCTCGGCTCTTCTGGGTCAGCTATTGAACGTACAAATGTCACGGACAATGGGATCTTCCAACACCTTTGTTATGCAACATCAGTAACATCGACGTCAACAGGAATTAGTCTCGTACCACACGTTCTATACAAGATTTGAAAATTTCTCACGAGTGAAACACCTTATATTGGATGGGTACGAGACTAAACAGGAATGACATGAGCACCTCAAGGGATTATGAATACTGTACCCAAACCTACCCGAACTCAAACAGTAAAAGTTATTACAAGTTTCGGATTATAGTCGGTGAATTATATAAGCACACGAGCGCCCCAGCGACTGGTTGGAAGTCTGTAACTGTACCTTGATTGATGTGTGTTCGATATCTAAGTACGTAAAGTACGTTTACTTTCTTGCTTTCTCACTGACGAATTACAGTCTATCAAGGCACTGTAAGCACGGAGCGGCCCCTCTGATGACGAAAGACCTGACACATTTGGCAACGGCGTGATTTACCCTTCATGTGCGTTCCTCTGCTTGCATGAAGGGTTGTCGAGTTAACGGAATGCATACCATACTTGACCGGTGACGATCTGCCGCAGGGCAGCTGTACCTGGATGTCGTCTTGAATTACTCATTCCAAATTTAACGCTTCTTCGTATAAAAAGAATCTTACTTGCGAGAAATGAGGTAGCAAAACCCAATGAAACTGAATTCCTCTGTCGCTTTTTTCACACTCGCCACCTTAGGACTCTCAGCAGCCCAAGTGGTGGATCTTGGGTATGCTAGTTATGAAGGGACCGTCAACCCAGTAACTGGAAACACACGATTTATTGGCATTCGCTACGCTGCGCCACCGACGGGTAAGCCTTCCATTGCCTCATACTCGACTTGGCAGGTATTGACACTTACGTATATAGGGAGCCGCAGGTGGCAAGTTCCTACAGTTCCGGATACTGTAGCCGGTGTCATACCAGCCAACACCCAACCCGCAGCATGCCTGCCTGCTGGTTACGGCGGTTCGCCGACCAATCCGTTCCGACGTCGAGCCACATCTGATGCCTTTTCTGAGGACTGTCTGTTTTTGAAGTTCGTAGCCTTCTCAAGATTCTCTTTCTTTGATGGGGAATGTTTCTAACTTGACCTGCTAGTGTGGTGACTCCTCAGATATCGGCTGTTGGTAAAAGCGCGAAACCTGTTGTGGTGTGGATACATGGGTGAGCGACGTTGAGCTGCTTCTTCCACAAACACATTGGCTCATTGCAGTACAGCGGTGGATATCATATGGGTAGTTCTGAACCCTTCGATGGCGAAGACCTTGTCCGTGAAGCTCAGGGTGGCGTGGTGGTCGTGATCATCCAGTATCGCTTGGGGGTGTATGGTTTCTTGGCCGGAAATGAAGTCAAGTCTGGAGGAGTTCTGAATGCAGGATTATGTGAGCCAGCTCCTTACCTTTCTCAACTGCTCTAAGACGTTTTGTCAGTGGACCAAGAGTTTGCTTTGCGATGGGTTCAGAAAAATGTACATTTCATTGTTCTTTACGAGTTTTTTCTTTTTCTAACGTCACCATGATTCAGATTGCCAAATTCGGGGGAGATCCGGATAAGGTCACAATCTGGGGGCAATCTGCTGGTAAGCCCCTCGTGTTCTATCGCTGGTTATCCTATCTAATTGACTATCTAGGCGCTGGTTCAGTTCTTCAGCATGTAATTGCCCACGATGGAAAGACGTCCCCCCCTCTCTTTAGAGCCGCAATCTCAAGTTCAAGCTTCCTCCCTTCGCAATATTCCTACAACGATATTATTCCTCGGGTTCGTGTTGACATTCGAATTACTTGTTCGATCGGTTCTAACTTTGGCCTATCTAGACTATTTACAATGAGGTAGTGGATCAAACTAGGTAAGCCTTCGATCCCCCTGCTAGCCTGAAGTCTTCTCACCAAAATTTCAGCTGCAATACTGCTTCAGATACACTATCCTGCCTAAGAGCCGTTGACACCACGACGTTGCAAGCTGCTAACGCCAACATCTCCAGCAGTGCATTCTATGGAACTTTCACATTTGTACCTGTGGTGGATGGGACCTTCATTAAACAACGGCCGACGGAGGCGTTCAGGAAACACAAATTCAACGGTGTACGTCCGACGCTTCTGCAACTTATACAATTTGTGCCTTATATTCCGTGCAGCAAGCCCTGCTCGCAATTACCAACCAACATGAAGGCTTCATATTCGTGGATCCAAGTACAACGTCGATTCCTAACTATCTCCGCCAGTTATTCCCAAAGTTTGGGGAGCAGGACATTCAACGGGCAGCCGCTCATTATGAGCATCTTGGAACCCCCTTTGATCAGGCCAGCGCTATCATTAGCGAAGGTTCGCATACCTCCATCAACCTTCGCTATTTAACGCGCTTAACTCATTGACAGCCATCTTCACATGCCCAACATATTTCATGCTGCGCAGTTTCGGTCAAAACGGGTTCAAGGTAAGCCTTCGTCCCTTTCTGTAGAGATAACCAGTAGTGTCTAATCATACATTCAAAGGGAGGATTTGGCATCCCGCCATCTTACCATGGCGACGATGTCCAGTACTATTTCCCATCGTACACAACGACGGAAACAGGAATTCCTCCGTCCAACAGCCCTTTCTTCAATAATACTGCCTTCCTCACGGCATTTTCGAAGTCCTTCCTCGATTTTGCACTATCGCTTGATCCCAACCACAAGTCGAATACCTCCACCATCACTCCTCATTGGGACAAGTGGGCAGATGATTCTGCGGAGATGCTTTTCAACAGGACGGCGGATGCGGAACCTGACATCTACCTGACAAAAACATCCGAAGCATTGTTGCAGCGTTGCAGGTGAGCCTTGTCTCGATGTCTTATCTCACACTTGATAAAAAATAATCTTTCATAGCTTTTGGGAGAGTGTCGGTGCACTGTCGGGACAATAAATCAACAATATTTTGTGCATTGGAAGTAAAGTGATCAATTATATCGCATACTTCACTTATCATCACTTTCTTAACAATATTTAACGAGTAGATAGATGTCTTATAGTGGATGAGCTCTCAAATGGTCTTTGTCCAGCCGTTTTTTTCTTTCCGTCGATTTAATCGGAAAACTAGGTCATATAGTGTCTAAAATTGAT